GAGCACCACGATGACTTTGGTCATCCCACTTGGTGGTTTGGATTGAAGTTTTGAGGGCTTGAACGTGGCAAAATCGGGAACCCCTTGATTCTTTCTTTTGGTTGACTTTTAAACCAACCTGAGAAGGGCTACCCTCAAGGAAGCACACCGAAATGTGAAGCTTTCTATCCTCGAAAGCAACCAACAAAGTCCAACGATCAAGGAGACTAGATTTCCCTTTGGTCAGTTTTACTACGCATAGATGGCTTTGGTCTCAGGTTGGTTCCAATACTTCACCAGTTGGGTGCAAAGAACACAGGGCAACCTGAAAATTGTTCAGTTGGTGCACCCACCAATGAGGTGTCTGTGAAGTTGGGTTCTAGGTGCTGTCCTCGCTCCATGCGAATCTGGCGCTGTGCTACCTGCAGCAGCAGGCACAGAAAAAAAGAAGCCCACGCGGAAATGCGCACGGAACTCAAGCACAGGTTTGTTTTGCTGAACACGTGGACCGCTGATGAGTTTCCTTCTGTTTGACCTTAGGACCCGAGTCTCTGCCATGCTCCAGGGTTGTTGGGGCAACCCTGTTTGACTGATTTTGGGACCCTGGTAGAGGAATCTCCCTTGTGGAACTTTGATTCAATGAAAATCGGAGGCAGATCTCGAACAACCGGAATTATGTAGGGGAGGGGGTCCGGACAAGTGATTGAAAGCCAAACAAAGAGTGCCCTCCAAAATATGGCGCAGGTGGCATTTTTCCTCCGAAACCCTCCCTGAAAGCTGCTCCAACCCACCCTGGCTTCGGGCTGGGGAAACCAGCCACTTTCCCTTCAAAGCCTTCGCTACTCCCTTGCCTCCCAAACAAAACTGTTCCCTTGAAACCCGAAAAAAGCAGCTCCCCTGCGGACCAAAAGCACGGAACACGCGACCAAAATGCTCCGCCAGCTTTTTCGCCGGGCGGCCGCAGCGGCGACTTCAAGCCTTGAGCTGGACGGCACCAACAGCAAGGAGCGGCGCTTCGCGCGGGCGACGGTTGCGCCTTGGGGTTTGGGGCTTGTCCAAAGAGGGAGATGTGCACCCCCGAAGAAGGGCCCAAGTGATTTGTGTTTGTTTGGTTTCACCTGCTCTGTTCTTCGGATGTTTCGCTGAAGCCCCAAAAGTTTGTGGGATCGCTCAAGTGGAGTTCTTGAGGAATCCATTCATTTTTTCCTTGGAGCACCCCGGATACAGATTTCCACAGTCGGGCGTGTCTTTTTTGGGAAGCCCAAAAGGGTAGTTTTCCTTTTGGTTTCCCTTTTAAACCATTAAAACGATTACCCTCAAGAAAAGACCCACCAATATGCTAATTGGAGATGAGAATCGAGTGGTAAAGTGACCGTCCGCTCTGACTCTCATATGTGCTCACCCATTGACAAGGCGAGGCGAGCGAAGGTGGTTGGGTGATTCGCCTCTTTTTCGTCTCTCAGCATACACACCTAAGAACTGAGAGGCTTCTTGTTTGAGCAAGCTGGCAATGAGCACTCTGGATTGCTTTTCATGCGCTGAAACTGAGAAATGGCCACTCTGGATTGCTTTTTTTTTTCATGCGCTGACATGCCCAGCAAGTTGGTTCGCACGGCTCGATGCACTTTGGCCGGTCCCTCCTTGGCTCTCAACGATCACCTTGAACTCCTTGGAGTCCAAGGCCTCACGTGGAGAGAAATTGGGGTTGAGTGCCAAGACTGTGGACTTCTTCTGCGTCACGGGAAACACAAAAAAAGAGCAGTCGGACCAAGGTGAGTGCAGGCGCCGGGCACGGACTTACAACTGTTGCGAGATGTAATTTCCACTGTGAGGAACGGTTCTTTGGGATTTCATACCTGCTTGCAGCTCATGTTGGTTGTTGCAGCCTTGCACTGTCAACCATGCAGCGTTTGCGTTGCATGTGCGGTGGATCTGGCGAATCTGTGTTTTATTCAGCTGGACGTGGCAGTGGAAGTGGCGGGACGCGACAGTGTCGTAAGCTTGAGGGGACCTGGATGGTTGATCCAGAGTGGGGGGACCAAATTTGAACATGGTTGCCAAGTGCAAAATGACTCCCTGGAAAACTTGAAGCACCAGGAAAGCACATGCTTGCCATGTTCGCAATTCGAGTCATGATCCCGGACACGGGAAGACCGCTCTCACGGCCGGCCCGTGGGAGCGCTCCCGTCGGCCGCGAGGCCCTGTACCGGCGCTGCTTGGCGCAGAAGGCCTTGAAGATGATGCCAGAGGCGGGCGGGGCCAGCGGTCTGTGAGGTTTCGAAGGAGTGAACACCGCCCGGGTTGAGAAGGAGCAAATGCACCAATTCGAGGGTTGAAACCACGCCAACATCTGGTTGGGGCTGTGCCAACACTTTTCGCGGATTTCCCGCTCACCAGCATCTGAAGGAAAAATGTGAGAGTCACTTTAATGAACCCAATCAAAACAAGAGCTTGCCCGCTTCACAGTTCGTGTCCTCCATCAGTAGACCCCGCTTTCGAGCGCCAAAGGGGCTCGCCTCCGCCTGATTCGATTACCTGAGTGATTCAAATCTGACACTGGCAAGATTCTCAGAGTTCATGGAGCAAGCATCGCTCGGGTGTGATCCCGTGTTGCAACCGGGAGATCGTACCATGACGTCGCACCAGGCTACCATACTTTTGCGAAGATTTCCCGAGCTTCTAGACTTTCACTGTTTTGGGAAGATGAGTTTTGCGGTAAACGACATGTCTGGACTTTCAGCTTTCGGCAGTGACTTGTAGGGTGGGGCAGGATTGGCTACAGGGAGCAGACTTTGGTGCCTTTGCTCAAGCATAGGCTTCTTCAGATGAATCTGGAGCCAACCAAATCCTTATTTGTGGATCCTCCTCTTGCGGCCCCAAGGACCCGCTCCTTCCGTTCATTACCTTTGCCCTCCCTCCAGCTGTACCTTTTCTTTTTAAAAAAGGAACTGCGCTCGCTCTCCGGCCCCGCAGCTGCACGCGGAGAGATTCGAGCTGTTTTTTGCGGTTTTTTGCCAATCGGATCCGAATTCACTTTGCTGCCATGGCGCAGCCTGGGACCCAGTGCAGCTTGGGGCGAGTGGGGGGTCTCCCAGTGCGGTTGGACTTTCTTCCACACACAAGATGAACAAATACAGGTGTTTTGGCGCAACGCAACACAGGTGTTTTGGGAGGGGGGGGGGGGATGGAGAGATATGTTCACTGCTTCCCTTTGTTGCTTGCTTTTTGCTTTTTGAGCTTGCTGTGCTGGAGTTGTTGTATCCCAACAATGCCAAATGCTGGGAACTCTGAACGCTGTGACAGCTTGCGAAGAGATTGTATGAGTTTTGCATGTGTTGGTACGATGCATTGCGTACTAATTCCGTGTTGATTTTCCCCTAAAAGATACCCAATCTGTGCATCGTCTGTTGCCCGAGGCCAACATTGCTTTGCCGATCCGAGCCACTTGGCTCGTCACCGGGATCTGGACGACAGGAATATATAGCTAGGTGTTTTTTTCCTTTTTCATTTTCCTTTGGGCCTAGGTGAAAATGATCAACCCCACATTTCTGTTGGATCACGATCTTCATTCACAGTAGCTCGTAATTGCTGATGGCACCGTTAAGGACATGGTGTCAATCAGCCATTCACATGTTATGGAGCTCTGGCATTCGAGGCACACGGGCTTACAACGATGCTGAAGTTGTATGTGCATGTACCTTGCAAAGGCAATTGCTTGTTTGCGGTATGACGCCCATTATAGGGCATAGGTGAGTGGCTTCACTTCAGGGCTGCTGTTTGTTTATGCCACCCGTTGCCAACAAACAAAACTTTGTGCTGGCAGAATCAAGCTGCTTGTTTCGGAAGGGCTATTGTGAGTTTTTGTGAGACTGTCAGTACAGGACGGACATGTCTGAACCTTTCGCCAGTTCAGCGACACCAGTTTTCCGAAATTTCGTAGTTACTCAACGCCTTCTGGCGCATGACTTTCGACTGCCCCGAAGTCTGAAGCGTTTGAATATGGTTCACTGAATGGGCCAGGCACGAGCGGACAGTTGCCCTGGTTGCTGTTCGCGGCTAGCTTGGCCGTGCTCAAGTGCTTTGTTTTTCAACCCACAAAGTATCCCTTTTGTGACTGGTCAAAGGGAAAAATAAAGACGCCCATTCCTAGACCATGCCATGAGCTATTCGCGACACCCGAATGATAATTGGTACTCCCATGGGCATCGAAGCAAACGACCTCCAGCGTTTTCCCACGCCACTCCCAGGCTGGGCTCCAATGCGTGCCTTGGCTCCGGAGGGTCCAGTTCTGCACGCTTCGAGTCGGTCGGCAAGAGGTATACTTTCCCGTACAGCAGATTCCGCCCTCGTCTCGTTTCTCTTTTTTCTTTTAACGAAAATGGGTTGTGATTGTTTGGCCTTGATCTCCACCAACAAGCCTGTCACTTGTAAGTTTCCCAGGACAGGATCCGACACTTTTTGAGTCTTGGCCTAGGTCCTACAGTCATTGGCTTTCCACCTGTCTTGGTCGTTCTTTGGCTTGATCCTTTTCGACTGTTTAAGCAGAGGGTTTGGCATGTTTCTTGCAGAGGATCGGAGATGCCAACTCGGAGCAGTCGGCAAGCAGGCAAGAGTATGTTTGTTTGTGTTGTATCGAGAAAACAACTTATCCATGGGAGGGTCCCCGGTGTTGAGACAATAAGCGGGGTTGAGATGCGGCAATGTTTTTTTTGACATTTGGACCGCCCTCAAAAGTTGGTTGGACAGACATCTCTTGTTCAAAAGATGTGCACCAAAGGGTTCCTTAAGAATACTACTCATGCGATTTGTTGTTTTGAGGCAACCAGTCACAAACGCAAACCCCGTGTGTCACCTTGCTTCCTCATACGTGTTCCAAATGCAGCCCATATCGGCTCATGGTTCACATGGTAACCACAACAAAATGACCCAAAATGTGAGGTTTCTACTTTGAACACATGCCTCAGAGGATTTCTCATGATGGTTGGGGGAGGCTGTACCCTCGTTCCGGCGTGAAAACTGAGCTGGTGTTGTTTTCAGAAGCGAGGCATCCCCCTCCAAATGGGACCCCTAGCTCTGGGGTCTGGTGCAAAATTACTTTGTAAGTTCGGGCAGACCAAATTTGGAAAGGACTCTGAGCATATGGCTGTGGCTCAAAATTAAACAGGGGGGGGGTACGCAGGTTTTGGTCCATGTTTCCACTTACCAGGGTTCCATGTTGGTACCGGTTTTTTGATCCACTGCCATATGGTTTCCTGTGTACAGATGGGCCATGCAACCCGGGGGCCAGAAGTTGGTTCATCCTGTACGGGTCCCAAGGCTGCTTCCAGCCCACGTGATAGGCATGCGTTGGTCTGCCGAGACTGGTGGGCCTCTTTTTGGTTTGCCAGGGAGCAATGGTCAACCCACCTGTTGGGAGACCCTCAATTTCCGGCATCGCCAATGTTTGCTTCCGGCAAGGAATTTCACAAGTTGCCAGGGTTTGGCAGCTTTTTACGATATTCCTATTTAACCAAAGCAGTGGTGACCACAACATAAAAATGGTTTCACAAAGGGGTGAGAAAGCCTCACCCATGTCCTGCTGGCACCGAATTCGTGGATTTCCAACAGTCACGTCGAGTGGCGAATGATGGTCTATGACATCAAGATGATTGGTTTCCTTTTGGCAGGTTGGCAAGGAGAAAGCTTGAAGCTTGTTTATACCCTCCCGTCCACTACCATGGAAACTGAACATTCCTGGAAGACCATGTCTTGTCCAAATAGACCCATGTTGGTGGGTTCCATGGCAAGGCTACCCTGAAGCAAATGGGTGCGGCTCAAAATTTAAGAGCCAGGGTGACGCAGGTGTTGGTCTTTGCGTCCATTTACCTAGGGGCCATTTTGGGTACATATGTTTGAGCCCAGAATGACAACTGGCTTGAGAAGTAGAAACATGGAGTATGGGGGTTGGCCCTCATGGAGTATGGCTATGACAACTTTGTTTAAGCGAATCCTAAACATCCTAAACCCTAAGCATCCTAAACCCTAAACAGGGCTCCTTAAAAGATACATCTCGCTCATTTAAAACATGTTTTTTTCCTCCAAACTAAAGGGACACCACCATTTACAAGTTGCAATGTTCAGGTGTTTTTCATTCATCCGGATCCCTGTTAAACCCTACCCATAGTGGGATCCATGGCACCGACAGGAGGGATGGCCCTGAGGCATTTTTGGGCGAGGCATCGATTTTTTCACGTTTGCCAGCCTCAGGAAGGGAGCCCTGGAGCGCGAGGGGAGCCTCGATGGCCCCCTTTCGTGCCCTTGGCAGATCTTCGATGGTGTGTCTGTTATTTTTTTTTTGGGGGGAGGGTCAATTTTATGTGTGCTTCTTGTGTTTGTATGTGTGGAGGGCTCGTAGCCCTTGCACTTTTGATCCAGGCTTCTGATTGGTCGATTAGGGTTTGTTTGGCAGGTTTGGGTTCGCTTTTTTGCTGTTACAGTTTTTGATCCATGGGAGAGAGCGACAGGGTAGGATCTCAAAATAGGGAGCTGTCGAAACCTCGGTCGGAACAACAAAACGGGAAGCCAACCAATTGAGAGGCCACAAATTTGGAGTCTCCGTCTCCACGCAGGTTTGCCGCGGTGGTTTTGGGACAAGGGATATGAGGATGGCTTGAGAAGGGGCTTGCTTGAGTGAGCGTCTCCCCCCGAAATTGGAAGCTTCAGCATGGGGCTCATGGGGCTCAATGTGAAAGGGACAGGGAGTCACTCAGCTTCCCATCCAAAAGGGACTCACCAGAGTAAGCAAACACAATTGACCGTGGTGCAGATTCTGCCGACAGTCTATCCCGTCACTAGCTCGAGTCTTCTGGTTGAGGGCTTGGATGACGGAACGGCCCTTGTTCCAGTAAGTTCCAGCGATTGGCTCTTTGAGAAGCTCAGGCCGGTGAAGGCTTCAAGCTAGGAAGGCGCACGTCCGCAAGTGGCACCAAAGAGAGTCAAATCAATTGGTTTGCCTGCCACCTGCGCTTGAAGTCGCACTTGGAACTTGGAACTGCTTTTCCGTCGAAAGCCACGCCTGTACCACAAGGAAAACGGCGAGGTGTTCAGCAGAAGGCTAAACAAGGTCCCACGCAAGTCCCCCTCAGACCCCTAACGTCTCCAAGGTGTTCCAAGAGGATTTCCCTTTTTGTGTATATTGCGCTGCGTGCCCTGGGTAGGCGACCCTGGACAAGTTGCCCCCTTTTTTGAGACATGAGTTTTCCATTGTAAAAAGCGTAGGAAAGCAACACCCAAGACATACTATCTGTTGTTTTGGGGATTGCATGGGGTGTCTACCCAATTCGTCGAATATCCCAAAAAAGCCAGAGAAACAACCCAATTTGAGGTTATTTTGCCCACCCCGTCTGGGCTTCTTAGCCCAAAAAGCTAGTTAAGCAGGTTGCTCGAAGAACCAGGGTGACAACCCAATTTGCCCATGTGGGGAAGCAGGTCATTTCGTCCGGGGTCCATAGAGCCCTTACGCTGCACCTCTGAACCGCATCGAGTCGAGGTGTGACATGTGGGGCGCTGCATCCACACACGCGCCTTGTGACAGCCCATCGTTGGTGCCATGGCATCGGAAGGAAGGCCATACAGTCCGCTTTGTGATCTGGGGCGATATGGCCTTCTATCATGTCACGCATGGAACATAACACAACATTGCTTGAGAGTGTATCCCATCGCATCACATATATCATATCACAACAAATCACATCACATTGTCACATCACATCATACCACATCACATCATATCACGTCACGTCACGTCACGTCACATCACATCACATCGCATCACATACACACAAACTCACACACACACACACACATTTGTGTATCTACATATTTCCCTTGTCTTTGCATGTCTTCGACATGTATAAACACATAGAAATACGTAAATGATATCCACTACTATGCTGGATGTGTATATATAATATATATATATATATATACACACACACACTTGCGCCCGCAAAACTGTATACATGCATGCATTTTGTTCATTACATATGTCATAAGATGTATTTTAACACATTATCAGATATGACGTTTAGGATGCACAGGCATGATATATGCATACGCATATATGGTGCCATGTATCAACATGCACGCATGTTAATGGGGAGGCCACTCTTGTGAATAAAAGGCCACAGCATCAGCAAGAGGAGACATGAGACAGACACTTGTGCGTGAAGTGCTATGACCTTTAAGCATGCGAAGCGCAAAGCAGACTTCTCGCATCATGATTTCTGAGATTGATGCTCCTAAACTTGTTTCATGAGGTAAGTTTGGAAGTAACCAATTATTTCCGCTCAAACTTTTGGCTCCCAGTAGATCTTCTTCCAAATTGACCAGGAGCAGTTCCCAACGTGGCTGATGCCAGTTAAGACATGCTGCTGTTGGGTAATTGAGCGTCTTTTCAGCAGCATGCTTTGCTCTCCCACCAATTCACATGGAACCTGACAGGGGGGTCCTGGAAGACAATTTCCTGTTAAAGGGATCCCCTGCCAGGTTCCATGTTAATTGGTGGTATTTGGGCTTCTCCCGGACTCCCAAAAATCTCTCCGGGTCGATTTTTTATGGGACCTGAGGAATCGCAGAGTTCCAGCTGTGGTACTCCGTTCCCTGGCCTGCCGTTGCTGAGGACTTGGGGAAGTTGGTTGGCGGAGGGCGGGAAACGAAGGCAGCAGCTGTTTGGGTGCCTTCGAGTGGGGGTTGCAGATGTCCAATTTTTCTGTCCGTCCTCGTTTTTTTGTCGTTGGACAGTACTCGGGGCTACACTGACATGGCCATGGGTCAAAATCCCGTACCCCCAGTGAACATCCCAATCCCCACTAAAATAGACTAAAATGAGTGGTGCACCTACCCCAAAATGGTACCATCGGTTTTGACCCACAGCCACATGTTGTTGACATGCTTTGCTGAGAAGTGTGAATAGGACGTGTTGTACTCATTTTGGCTCAGCTGGTTTTGGCGATGGCCAGGGCGTGGCGACTGGAAGCCTGACCTTTGTCTCTCATTCCCCAAAGCAATGGGCACGACCGCTGTAGCTTCACCAAAGGGCAGTTGGAATGGCTGTACTTGATGTCTGCTCCCATGTTTCTGCATGTAGAGGCTCTCAATGCTGGATGCCCCCCTTCTGATCATGCTGCACGCAGGACCAAGAACACGTTTCTGGAAGTGGACGAAGAATCCACACCGAAGGCGCCAACTTACGAAGCGGTGCGCCAATTCTGTCAGCATATGGGGACTTGAGCTCTGCTTTGAAGGGTGCCTGGATCGTTTGTTCTTTCTAGGAGCCCAATTCTTGGTGCTCTGTTCGTTCGCGCTCCTGGAGATACTAGGTTGGCAAGAATGGTAAGGATGACGAGGATGCTGATGATGAGGGCGACGATGTCGTTGACGATTATGATGATTATGACGACGACGATGACGACGACGAAGATGACGACGATGCCGATGACGACGATGCCGATGACAACGATGACGACGACGATGACGACGACAATGATGATGATGATGATGATGATGATGATGATGATGATGATGATGGTGGTGGTGGTGGTGGTGGTGATGATGCTGATGATGGTGATGATGGTGATGATGATGGTGATGATGATGGTGATGATGGTGATGATGGTGATGATGATGGTGATGATGATGATGATGATGCTAGCCAAATCAATTGGATGTGAGGCAGCCACGTCAGGTGCATCAGGCACATGTCAATGTGGCCATGTATCAGATGAGCTATTCCCTTTTTTTCCAGCAATTGTATGAGTGGACAGGAGTGTTTTCAGAAGACTCCGGCCCCAAAAGGCCACGCCCATTTTGGAACATGGGTCCTCGACTTACTCCCATGCACGGTAGTGTGCTTCCCTGAATCAGGGTTTACCCCGTTCTGGTATGAAATGGAAACGCCGGTCAACCACTGGTTGCTTACCAGGCTGTTTGATGTCGCCTCAAAGCGAGCAGATGGACATCTTTGATTTTTCAAGCCGCCCAGTTGGCAGGCGGTTTAGGAAAGGATGTGGCAGCTTGTCGGCCCAGCTGAAATGCTTCAGGGCCAGCGCACCGGCACCTGGCAGCATCCAGCACGGCAGTTTGGCAGCCAGGAGCGGAGCTCAAGCCGAGACTCACGTTTGCCTTCCCGAAGTCAGCCTCCCAACATGGCATGTACAGGAAAATAGTTAAAATAGTCCCTTCAAGAGGAGACATATTTTCCCCGTACCCAAGAGGTGCCATGTTTTTGGGAGGAAAGGTCATGGGCGCCTTTTTTTCCGCGCTGCTGTAGGCCTTTTAGCCCCGTGGACAATCGGGTCATTTTGCCAGAGGGCTTTCCCTCTCAATGGGGGGAGCAACGAGCCCCTCCGCACAAGGGGAGTGGGGATGTTTGTGGTCAACAGGATTCCTCCATCGCTTGAAGGAGGGATCAACCTTTCTTTTCAGCTTGGTTCAAAGAGCTGGACAAGAGGGGGACAAAGAATCCTTCGCCTCAGTTGCTCAGTGGCTCCAATTATTTTTCCTTTTTTTTGGTGGCTGCCCCACAAAAATGGTCTTCCCAAAAAAGGGTTCCCTTTTTTTCCAGGGTCACTGGACAACTGAGTAGCTGGGTTTTGACTGCGTGTGAAGTCGAGAAAGCCAGTGAAAGGGAGAGAAGTCCCCCTCCCGGTGAAAAAGGGAAGCCAATGGAGGCACGAGGCCCATTGCTGGCCGTTCAGGTAGCTTGACAAGAGGGGGGACAGAGGACGGGTAGGGGGTCAACATCTACCCCACACGCCTGGTTTTGCAGCTTTTTGAAAACCTTGGCGTTGGTGTCAGGGGTTCTGTGCACGTCCAAGGCGTTTCTTGGAAAGGTAAACGACGACGTCTGTGGAACCGGGTGACCGCTAGGACTCCACAACCCTTGGGTCCACGATGGACAGCCAGTGCGACACCCCTCGCCAGAAGCGGCCCATGACGTTTCTCGGACTGCACCAGCAAGCGCGGCAAAGCGGGGGGGGGGGGGGGGGTGGGGGGGTGGGGGATCTGTTTCAGAGAAATCTTTAAGGTACATGAAATGGAGGGATTTGTTTGTATTGGCTTGCCAGTCGGGTTGGCCTTTCCAGAATTTCTCTTTTTACGCGAAGTGAAATGATCCCTTGGCCAGGTCACTTTCTGAAGGAAATTGGACCTGCAACTTTCTGAGTGTAGAAAGAAGCCTTCTGTAGGGCCTCCTGTGGATGGTAGCGAAATCCATTTCGCACCACCGTTCAGAAACCCTGGAGTGATACGATTCTCCTGCAAATACCAACAAACGTTACGGTTTCGACCATGGTTTCATTCCGTGGTGCGGTCGCGGATTTCGTCCACGGTAAGTCCCGCTCTCAAATGGAAGGGGTCTTCAGGATCAAGCGGCCGTCAGGATGCCACTCGGTAGCTCGATTCGCAGACGCCCAAGCAAATCGGTTGATGACAAGAAGGGCTTCTTCCCCTCAACTCGCTTCGCATACCCATCGACTTGCAGATGTTCAGATTTCCCAGTGTAATCCCAGGGTGTACTGCAACAACCCTTAGAATCTAAAAGTCTAAGGGCCCTCTGGATTTATGAGAGACCCAGCCGCCAGTTCCTCCTTTTCCTCCCGCCGAACTCCGAAACCGTGCTTGGAGCCCAGGGAGGAGCAGTGGCCCGAGTACGGCAGGCGAACAACGGGACCGGTTTAGGGCCGAGGCTCAGGCCCTTGGAGGTTGCCGGGTCAGCCGCTCGGGTTTTTTGGACGGAAGGTGGAAGGAGAAGGCCAGATTCTAATTGGTTGCCATGGACCGCTGGAGTTTTTTCGACCAACCTATTTCGGCCCATGTTAGGACACGCCCCCGCAGTGCCTTGGAAGTGAGTTTGCTTGCAGACTCCTTCTCCATTCATGAGATGCCGGCTTACTTGGCAGCCACTTTCGCTTGGCTGCATCAAGGTTTGCTCCGTGGAGTTTGACTTAGCCGAACAACATCTTTCCTATTTACTGGCTTTTTTATGTGGTGAAGGCAGTGATCCTGTTTGGGACTGTGAAAACTGAAAGGGACATGGCTGTGGCAACTGGGCTTCTTACCACACGAGATCCGACTGGCGCTTAGCGGTCTTTTGCGCAGACCGCAGCCGCAGCCCATGCAGTCCATCAACCTTTGCCAGGCGCGTTGTGACGGGTTGGCGGGGACCAGGCGTCTGGGTCGAAAATCGGTTCAAGTACTAGGTCTTGATGTGAAGTAAGCACGTTGAGAGACAGATTTGCTGTATCGTCCGTATTCTTTTTAACATTGGCAACGATTGATTAAGTGATGTCCTCCTGATTTGTCCAAGAATGGCTTGTGGGTATTTGTTTCGTGCGAAAGCCCTCAAAAGTAATCAACACACATAAGTTCCAATGTAAATGATGTCCATCAAAGGGTCCATTTCCACACACGATCACCCAAGTAGTTTGTGGGTAATGTTGGCTCCTGGAGTCCCTGTCAAAGAGATGCAATCAGGCTGCGGCACATCTTAAACGTTTTGCCACATCTCCGGGAACAGATTGAATCACTCGGCACTAGTCATGGCGAGCTCAACGAACGAAGTAAAATGAGCTCACCCACCCTTGCTTATGCACCCCCCAATTCATGATGGTGATGCTATCGTACTGCGTGCAGACCACTGGCCTGTTCATTACTCTGAGCATTGCAACGGCGCCGTGAAGATTACGACACCGTGTATCAAGAACTAAGCTCTGTCTCGAGATGGTCGCATCGCTTCGGAAACCAATATTTTGATATTGCAGCACCCCACAGCACCACGAGTGTCTCAGCCTTCCGGTCGCAGCTGGCAACGACCCTCCCGGCTTATGGGTTTCGGGCGTGAGACACTGCCACATGTTCAAAGGAAAAGGCAGGTTTGAAATGGGCTTTGGCCCGTGAACTCCGCGGCTTCTTGGAGAGAATTCAGTTGGACAGTTGTCTCTTCCCCAAATAATGCTTACATATGTATTAATATATATATATATATGCTCACACCCCCCCCCCATGAACTACATTTGGGGCATGTGTCTTTGATCCATCTGCTCATCTGCGTCTGAACTTGTGAAGTCTGCCAACACTACATTTGGGGCATGTGTCTTTGATCCATCTGCTCATCTGCGTCTGAACTTGTCAAGTCTGCCAACACCAACTTGTCCTTGTTCATCGGAGGTCTGTGTCTGCATCCACCAAGTGCCAAAGATAACACCAAATGCATCTGGATGAGGAAATGTTGAGGAAATGTGAAGACATGTCAACCATATTCTGAGCAAGAAGTGAACAAGTCATGAGGGAGCAATGATGAAGCAGAGACGAAGCAATGAAGAAGTGATGAGGAGGTGATGAGGAAGTGATGAGGAAGTGATGAGGAAGTGATGAAGTAGTGACGATGTAATAAAGAAGTGATGAGGAAGTGATGCGGAAGTGATGAAGCAGTGACGAAGTAATGCAGAAGTGATGAGGAGGTGATGAGGAAGTGATGAGGAAGTGATGAGGAAGTGATGAGGAAGTGATGAGGAAGTGATGAGGAAGTGATGAAGTAGTGACGATGTAATAAAGAAGTGATGAGGAAGTGATGAGGAAGTGATGCGTAAGTGATGAAGCAGTGACGAAGTAATGCAGAAGTGATACGAGGAAGTGACGAGGAAGTGACGAGGAAGTGACGAGGAAGTGATGAGGAAGTGACGAGGCTGTGACGAATGAGCCAGGCGTAAGGGACGAAGGATTGTTAAGAGAAGCAGCTTGAACTTGCCCACATACATTCGTGCATTGCAATAGAGTGCTTTGGTTCTCGCAAGGCTCGAACCAGCAGTGTGCTTTCTGCCCATATTCCGATCGACCTGTCTCGCCCGTCATGGCTCAGCCGGCTCAGCTGACTTCAGGTGAGATCAGCCCAGATGACTTTAAGGACATGCTCCAGCGCATGAACGTCTACCAGGTGCCCAGCATACTTTCCATGACTGTGACGATGGCCCTCTGAGCATCGTGGACTTGCCGCTCTATGGCATGAATCTCAATGGTGTGGCAAAGTGTGTCGTGGATGTGGTCATGGATGTAGATGGCCCTGTGCCCAAGGCTCAAATGAGGGAGGTCTTCATGTCAAGCAGCTTCAGTGACCTTCCAGCTCCATATGGGCTGCGTCAGCAACCAGGTTTCCCTTACACACTCGACATCTGCGTGACCGAGCAGCAGAATGGCAAGTACTGCGTATGTAAGCTGATCAATTTCAAGGAGAAAATGAAAACCGCGCAGGTCCAACCAATGATGTATGGGAAGGCGCGCATGGTGGATTGGAAGAACAACGTGAAGTACATGAAGAAGTATGTCCACTACATCTTTGAACACATGCGAGTCTTTCAATGCCGAAACCACGTCCTACGGTCGCAGGAGGAAGGGGAGCCAGAAAACGACAAGACCGAGGATGAGTGGAACTCTGGCTTCGACTTCATTGAAGAGTTCGGACCACGTGACAATGTCAAGAACCGTCAGCTTCGCTGGATCACCATTCAAACCTCCACCGACAGCTCGCCCATCTACAAATGGCCTTCCATGCTGGTGGAGAAGTCCCTCCGCAATCTCTCCTCTGATGGTGTGCTTGCGGCAGTGCACGAAAAGTGGCCTCTCACCCTGTATGACATTGACGGGCGGCTTCTCAGTGCTCTTGCCCCCTTGGTTCCTTCTCTCACTGAAAAGGCCATTGGTTTTCATGGAGAGCCGGGTGCTGGCAAGACTCCGGTGGCCAGGACTATTGCCATGGCCATGTCCAGGTACCAAGTCCGGAGGCTCGGCAAGCTGGGGGAGACACAGCCATCTTTTAGGCAAGCTTGCGAGTTTGACTTCTTCCGTGGCCAATGCGGATCCATCCTGAGGCCAGACATCTTTGATGATGGCACTCTGTGTGAGCAGCCCTTCAAGAAGATCAAAGCCTTTACGGACGTCGGCAACGTGGAGTCGATGTCCAAGGAGAGATGGGGGGCTGCCAAGTGGGTCAAAGGACAGCTCCGCCTTTACTGTGTCAACGACTTTGACTCGACCAAGGAACCGGAGGACACAATGCCCATTGTCGCCAAAAGGGCAGGCGAAGCTTCGTATGTGACGCACACCGACTTCATGAAGATGCTCGACTCTGCTTGGTACCCCAAGGAGAACAGCGATGCAAGCATCATGGCGGTGTTGAAAAGGACCCACCTGTTCGTCAACACTAAAAAGTTCCTGTACGTGCGTCCAGCAGGAGAAGACAAGCAGCCGGTGCTTAGGAAGCCTTTGAATGATAAGGTCGACTTCCTGGTAGAAGAGTCGCGGCTGATCTACGACTATTACAGGAAGGGTGGCACCGACTTGACTGATGACTTCGACAAGAAGGTGGAGTGGGAGACCAAATGGAAGGGAGCATCAAGCCGAGGAAAACATGTACTCTGCTTCCAAGACCAACCTGGACTTGGCTGAGAGTGTGGGAGCCGGAGCAGACCCAGGTTCATCGTCAAGCCCGCCTCCGGCAGGCAACAAGCTCAAGCGCAAATCCACCTTTTCCTCATTGTTGGTGACAAGTGCGGAGTGCATTGAGATTAGCGACTCGCCGGTGAAGAAGAGCGCCAACCTCCAAAATTACCAGCCAGACACTGCCCGCGTCAAGATTGAGATGCCTGAGCCCACCGAGAACTCGGAGGAGTGTGCCATTGGACCAGCAGAGTGAACTGCTTCAAGAGGAAGGGGTTCTGATGGAGGAGACGGAGTCTGTCATGGCTGAAGCTGAAGCGTTCCAACGCGAGATGGAACAAGAGCTGGAGACAGCGATGGACGAGATGGACATGGATGTCGAGGAAGATTGAGTTTGGGTCTTGTGCCCATAGCTGGTGGTAGAATATAAACAGGCTGCGCTGCACTCAATGGGTGTTAATGCAAAGATAGAGTTTAGGTCTTGAGGCCATAGCTGGTGCAAGAATATAAGCAGGCTATGCTGCACCGAACTGGTGTTAGCCAGCTGCAGGGTGGTCGCTGCAGTCAAAAAATGCATGCGCGCTCACAGACTGCACAAAGCCAGAATGCAGACAACGCGTGTGAGCTCATGGGTTTGATGTGGTCTTAACACAAACGCGCGCCATTGTTCGGCTTTGTGCTAGTGCATGTGCTGGATTCTACGCTCGCAAGGCTCCAGCGGCTTCTTAGAGTCGATTAGTTTAGCAGTGCGCCCTCCTTGTCTTCTGACAACGCCTAAGCCAATGAAGAAGGCAAAGAACCCAAAGCCATGGCCAGTTCCAAAGCGAGGTACGGCTCGTGCTCGCCAACAAACAAAATCGAGATCATCAGCTATGAAGCGCAAGCCAAATCCTTCTTATGTTCGCCACAGACAAGTCACCAAGAAGTTCGTCAAAGGCAAGCGCAGGTGGGGCATCTCTGTCCACACTCTCCTGAGCACTAAAGGTAGAGAGCTGATCTGCTTGCTGAAGAAGAACGGCCTACTACATGCCTGGGAAGGTCGAGCTTGTCCACACTGTGGTGACGGCCTCATGGGCCCTTTGCTCTATGAGAAGTGCCGGCGCACCTGGACCCATCGCTGCTCAAAGAGAGGTTGCCAGCGGTTCGCGCGGCCCCAAGACTTCCATCCCATTTTCTTCGGCGGATCAGGAGCAAGTGTGACCAGCCTGAACCAGCAAGCCGCTGCTCTTTGCTGCGCAGTGGCAGGTGTGCCGCAGGCATCTGCGACCCTTATCCTCGACATGGATGATATGCCAGTGCAAAAGGTTTACAGCAACCTGGAGATGTGCCGTGCCCGGTATGTGCAACAGAAAGAGAAGAGCATCGTCTTTGGCAGTGTCAATGCGTGGCCGGACGTGGAGGCGGATGAGGTGGACTTGGGCAAGGAGGAGGTTTTGGCAGGCACGAAGCTTTGGTGGGAACAATGGGGCGGTATTGTGGAACGTGGCCGACCAGAAACACTGATGCTGTTCAGATTCAAGCCATCTTTGACCAAGAAGAGGTCGCCAGGCCCGGGTGCGGAATTGGACGCCTATTGGGCAAAGACACTTGGCTCAACGCAAGGTCATCTTGCACACAGATGGAGCGCGAGCATATAAAGCAAAACTTCCAGGTGTTCTGCATGACAACGTGGTGCGCAAGCTCAAGAAGGTGACTGTGAATGGTAAATCCGTTTGGGTGAGGCCTCACTGTACCAAGGTGTGCAAGCACAAGCTCCCCAATGGCTCCACACTATGGGTGAAGAGTGGCACCCAAATCATCGACAGATTCTGGGGCTCACTGCGGAAACATCTCCGCCATATCCCACGCAAGGTGGGCAGCGCTCGCCTTCGCATCAAGATCAAGTCTGCGCAGTGGGAGTACTGGAATCAGTGCCGCAACTTGTGGCATGCCACCGGGCAGATGTTGAAAGAACTGCTGCGCCAGGGATGAGGTGACCAGGGCCGAGCTGTGGTAGTATAGACGTAGGCGTAGCTCATGGCATTCGAGCTAGTGCTCCACGGAAAAAGGGCGTCAAAAGCTGATATTCAAGCATTCGCATGATGTCTTACACGACAAGCATACCATTCATTTCATTGAAAGGCCTCTCGCCTGCCTGAAGTGTTGTCTACCATGATGTAACTTGTGGTCCCTCACACAAGCGGCAAATCTGTCTAACAACCAGTAACGAATGTTTGAGAACAGCCTCTGCAGTCTGAGCAACAAAATCATGACCTCATCTGTCTGTCGTCTCTCACCTCATCTGGCAAGTTTGCGTAGCAAAACAAATTTCAAAAAAACAAACAAGGTTTGCAGCCTGAGTAACTCACACTTTCCCTTTTGGACGCCAACCATTGGAAGCACGAAGGTGTCAAGACACCCGCGCGGCGGCTCAAGGCTTGGTTCCTAAGGATTTCTTGTTTACTGCATTGATAAGCATGCCTCGCAAATGCGCTGGCACGATGGATGGCACGCTGTGCGCGTTTGGCGCCAGTGGGAAAGAAGCAGTGCCCTCAAGCGGCGCCCGCTGTGCGCTTTGCAAACCGCACGAGGAGCTCACAAACATGTCCACTTTGGCTCACGCGGCTATTGCTAGGAGTGTGTGCAATTTGACTGGCCCGCAGCAGCAGCGCGCACTGGAGCGCATCAAGAATGTACCGAGGCTCCGAGAACATGTCGAGAGAGTTCTGCAGAGCCGCGGGCCCAAGGATGCAAAGTTGCAGGCGAACGCTGCCGACAATGCCACATCAACGTCAGTGTCAAAGAGTAGCAATGAGGGCGTGCCCCGCCAAGATGAAAAGGAAGAAGATCATAGAGCGGGTCAGCCCATCAGACCTTCTATTAAATGCCACTCTCGTATTCTTGACCAAGGCTCCTTTGGGCTCTGCTCCCAATTTGCAATGGCTACTGCTTGCTCGCACGCATTGCAGCTCAAGCACCGTATGTGGTTTACAGATGAGGCCCTGTTGGACAAATGGCACAACCAGGCAGTGCCCCCAAAAGCAATGTGGGCATGTGCAACTTTTATTGGCCGCTTCAGACTGCAGATGAGTACAGCCTTTCACCAAGTGGAACTTCGTATGCGCCCACTACGCACATGGAGTCATTTCTGTCGGTCAGTGCATCTCTTCGCAGGCTTTCGCTGCATTGTGGTGGTGCCTAACCTGCAATAGCATGTTTTCAAATTTTTGCCGCACCACTGTTTGTGAAAGCTAGGCCAAGAAATATGTGTAGCCTACAGCACTGCAAGGTGGCTCGAATGGATGGAGAAGCTTCCACATCAACTCACAGCATGGCTGCTATTCATTGGAACAGCTCAGACTCCAAGGTAGTCTGTCAAAACTCTTGGGGCCCTGAGAACTCTCCATTCTGCAATGTAGATGAAGACATGTTTGTGGAGGGATGGCTTGTGGATCCACAGATTGTGGAAAGCATTAAGCCTGGAACAGGCGGGAAGCAACAAAAAGTTGCAACTCCCGCACCTGCTGTGGAGTGGTCTGCTCTATTAGCCAAAGGCTTCTGACACTGCAAGCTGGACTGCGAAAAGAACCGAGCGCGCTGCTGTACTGAGTCCAAGGGCACCTCCTCTTCAAATAGACTGACCAACACACCACAAACCAAAAAAAACAAAACAACTCGAGGAAAACCAAAGAAAACCAAAAAAACCTCGAGAAAACCAAAAAACCAAAAAAACCAAAAAACCAAAGACTTTGGCTGGTTTTGGAAGACTGCTTTGGTTTTTTGGTTTTCTCGAGGTTTTTTTAGTTTTCTTTGGTTTTCCTCGAGTTTTTTTGGTTTTTTGAGCTTATGGAGTCCACAAACCAAAAAAACACATGTGTTTTTTCGGTTTGTGCACAGTGCTTACCCACCAAAACCACAAAATACACTGTGTTTTTTTGTTTTTGGGCTCCATAAGCTCAAAAAGCAAAAAAACTCGAGGAAAACCAAAGAAAACCAAAAAAACCTCGAGGAAAACCAAAAAACCAAAGCAGTCTTCCAAAACCAGCAAAGTCTTTGGTTTTTTGGTTTTTTGGTTTTCTCGAGGTTTTTGTGGTTTTCTTTGGTTTTCCTTGAGTTTTTTTTTATTTTTTGAGCTCATGGAGCCCAAAAACCAAAGACACAATGTATTTTATGGTTTTGGTGGGTAAGCACTGTGCGCACACCAAAAAAACACTTGTTTTTTGGTTTTTGGGCTCCATAAGCTTAAAAAACCAAAAAAACTCGAGGAACACCAAAGAAAACCAAAAAAACCTCGAGAAAACCAAAAAACCAAAGCAGTCTTCCAAAACCAGCCAAAGTCTTTGGTTTTTTGGTTTTTTGGTTTTTTGGTTTTCTCGAGGTTTTTTTGGTTTTCTTTGGTTTTCCTCGAGTTGTTTTATTTTTTTGAGCTTATGGAGCTCAAAAAGCAAAAACACATCAAAAAATGGAGGTGTTTTACCACTCGGCCAAAAAAACATCAAAAACTCAGTGTTTTTTGCACTTTCTACTGCTGAGATGCAATTGGTTGAGGGCCGAAATCCGGCCGGTATTTTCTTGCAGTTGTACTTCCAAAACATGTAGAAAACACCGTAAATACCAGTGTTTTGTAAGGGTTATATAAACTGAGCAATGCAAATGTAGTTCATGGGGGGGTGTGACCATATATATATATATATACACACATGTGTCTCCCCGAATAACTATATTCATTTGGGGGGCGGAGCGATATTTATTACTGGGGTACGTGTGTGCCCAAGGGGGTTCGGTCAGATGTGCTTTTTCTTAGGAAAGAGGAAGGGTGGAAAAGGGCTGTTTTCTGTGGGAATCTTTAAAGAGGGACACATGACGCATTTGCTTTCTGGCTAGTACGAATATAGCAGAACAATTGTCCAACTAGATGGTGCTAGTACTTGATTCCGCTCTAGAAGGCTCCCTGACTGAACTAAATGAGGTGGGCCGGTCGGCCCGGAATCGGCAAGTTCGGTGTTGGTTCAGAGTAGGGGCAAGTGAAAAGTAGTATTGTATTGGGCCCCCCAGGGATCTGGAACAAAACACAACTTATTAGTAGGGGGCATTTTTGAATAGGCGATTCTCTGCGGCCTGGAACCAACAAAACGGCCCAAACATGGCTCCGCCTTGGGAAGGTTCCTCTGAAAAGTTCCGGGGGGTCCAATGTGAATCTGCACAGGGCGACCGTTTGGGGAGGGGTGACACACGGCCGGTTGTTCAACTGCTCGCAGGCAGTGTTGCATCCGAGCATGCCATCTGAGACTTGGCTAATGGCACAATTTTACCGACATTTTCTTGATGTGCGGGTGGGGTGGGGGGGGGGGTATTTGAATACACACCCACATGTCCTGTTGAATCATTCAAGGCTTTGTCATTTTGTCACCATACAGGGAGCTTCGCCATCGCCTTCCGAAAAGATGGAGGAGCTTCATTCTAGTAGATGTGATCAACATATGGGGGATGAAGTAAGCAACTGGCAGTTTGTTCCCGAGATGGACATGTCAGGTCTTGTCGCTTTACAGATGGGAAAGTCAATTGGTAAAGCAACCTTCCATCACTGGATTCATCCTTGTCATCACAGGATTCATCCTCATATTATAGATGTGTGTTTGCTTGTTCTGCTTGCTTGTTCTGCTTGCTTGCTTGCTTGCTTGCTTGCTTGCTTGCTTGCTTGCTTGCTTGCTTGCTTGCTTGCTTGCTTGCTTGCTTGCTTGCTTGCTTGCTTGCTTGCTTGCTTGCTTGCTTGCTTGCTTGCTTGCTTTGCTTGCTTTGCTTGCTTTGCTTGCTTTGCTTGCTTGCTTGCTTGCTTGCTTGCTTGCTTGCTTGCTTGCTTTGCTTGCTTGCTTGCTTGCTTGCGTGTTTGTCGATCTGCCTGCTCATTTGTGTATTTGCTCATTTGGCTTCTTGTTTCCAGCCTGTTTCCTGGTCTTTTCGGAGCTAAACAACCTTTGGTCTTTTTGGTTTGGTTTCTCCCCTGTTTTTTCCTTTTGGTTCTCCCCTGGCCTTGAGGTTTGTTGTTTGTTTCGGGTTCTAGTTCTCTTTGGCTTTCTACTCTGCTTCCTCTCTCTCTGCCCCAACCCAAACCCTGTGACATATTTGCTCCTTTGGCTTCTCATATGTTGGTCCAAACCCAACTGGCGCACGCGCGGGCTCGAGACCGAGGTGCCCGAGTGCCCCCCGGGCTGCGTGCCCATCTCCTCTGTCATGGCCGCCGCCGCGGCGGCGGCGCAGGTGCCGCTGACCCCCTGGGCGCCGGGGGGCTCAGAGCTGAGCGAGCTGAGCTGGCGCAACGGGGGGGAGCTTTTTCTGTTCCAGGCCGGGGACCCTACCCTTGCAGGGGGGGGGGGGGGGTTGGTGGCCTGGGGACTGGAACACATATATGTATACATATATATATATATATATGTATACACATATACATAGACCACTTGAACCTGGCTGGAAGTGGGAGATCATTCGATGCGATTCCTTTCTTGAAGGTGCTCCTTTTGAGTTCAGGGGGGTCTGCAAGCCGAAAGTACTTGCCACATAGTCCCGGACAGGGACCCGATTGCAAGAACATCGCAGACCGTCAATAGTGGCGGATTCATTCGACTTGCGATCGGTGCGAGAGATGCAGGGAATGAGAATTGGAATGACCCCTGTAAACCATCCAACTGGCGGTTTCCTTGGGGACTCCTGGGTTCATTTTCACATTTTCTACTGAGCACCAGCAAGAGTATTTGGGTATGGGTCAAACATACGAAGCAAGGACTCTAAAACCTGCACGCTTTCTCCAAGTCCCGTTTTTAAGGCCTATGTTGCTCACTAAACGGATGTGGGTCAAAAATAGGTACCTGGTACGTGAAAGGGACTAAAACCTTCGGTCCCCCTGGTGGTTAATTTCGATCAATACCCTTTTTATAACTTAGCGTACACTATGAAATCCAGTCAGAACATATTTTCTGTGTACCCCAGATGTGGGTCTCAGGGTGGGACGGGAGTAGGGGAAATTCCATTGCCCGGAACCACAATCAAGACGACTTGGCTAGATGAAGGACAATCTCAATCATAGGTTGGTGCCTTTCCTGTTAGACCACTGTACGGTTTTGATTGTGACTCAGGTGTGGACCTTTCCCTTCCATCCCCTTTAGGATGGATGAAAGCCACAGCGTTTGTCTCCAAACGGTGGCACCTTTCCAAATCCTCTGAGCCTTTGAATGATGACCACAATTCAGGGAATTGAACGGAATAAACACTCCAACTCAGCTTGAACATGGTAGCAAAATGGGAGTACCACGATTCTATTCAACATGTAATGCACCAGGGTATAAACAATGGTATTGGGGCCTATGTCTTTCCTTTTCCAGGGGGCAAATCTTGTGCCGATCGCGTTTCCTGGCAGCGACATGTTTTTGAGGATACTCGTGATGTGGTTGTTTTTGAAGGAACCCCGCGCATAGGAGCTGCCTCAGGAGGTTTGTCAACGCCCCAGCTGAAGACAGGACATCGCTTGAGCTCAAGGTTCAGAAAATATCAACCAGAGCCAAGCCTCTGGTTGTGTTTTGGGGCAACTGCCGCGTTTTTTCTTCTTCCCCAGATTCCCCCCTCGCACCTGGCGCGATTTTTGTCACTCGCTGAGGTGTGTGAATCCCATGGCGCAGGCGATGCAGCATCAGGCGCCTGTCATTGCGCAAGCCAAAGTGCTTCGTTGGCTTGACATTGTTTTTGTTTATCCGTTTTTGTTTTCCGCTCCCCAGTGGCGTTGTCCTTTCTGTAGAAAATGCGGCTTGAAAGGGCATCAAACATGAACATGATAATTGAGGGAGTCACAATTGGTGTTTGTCCTTCCTGAGAAAATGAGGCTGTGGAGTCATATTTGGTGTGTGAAAGGGAATTGTCGTTGTCCTGGGGCAGAAGCCATCGTTCAACGGCTTCAGGTCGCCTTCAATGCTGCCATGACTGCGGCCTTGTGCTTTCCGCAAGCCTACATGCCGGGGCCTTGGTGCGCAAGTTTCGTTCTGCGTCCTTCCTTTTTTGGCGGGGGTCGCTGCCCAAATAGGCTTCGGTGGTTCGGAGCGGCGGGCGATCCGGAGAGGTTCTGGAAGGGTTGCTGTTGGGGATACCACCTGGTCTTATTTTGGAGGGCTTTTCCGTCAACAACTATCAAAGAAGTGGCTTTGTTTTCCCGCCAGTAGAGGTCTAGGAGTGTTGGCTTGAAACAGGTGGTTTGCAGAATGTGGTGGGTGAGCTTGGATCCCGCAGTCATCAGTGAAAAGATCTTGGCTTGCGAAAGAGAGATGGGCGTGTCTTTTTTTGGGGGGACTCCTTCTTGGTGGATTTGAAGGAGCACCAAAAGGACCCCCCCCCCCCCCATTATATGAGGAGGGGGGAGGGAAACCTCCATATAGTCTATCAAGCCAAGATGGGCAACGCTTTCATCCGCAGCCAACAGACCCAAGCCATGGGATTTTGGTCTCTCCATATCACATCATGGTTTGCCCCTAAGTGGCTTCCCAAGTGTGGTTGATCCTAGGGGCAAAACATCACCCTAATATTTTGGGATCCTTGCTATCTTGGCTTCCCAAGTGTCTTCTCATTTCTTGCTCTTTGAACTTTGCCCTGAGTCGGTTATTCACGGGCAAATCTTTGGCATGCGGGCTCACGGGTGGGCTCACAGGTTGCGCGTGCGTAGCGCGAGCATGTGCTCAGCGTCCATGGGTTGATGTGTAGTTTTGGGGGAATTGGTCCAGTTCACTGGCTTCCCCAGTGTGTTGTGCAACGGACTCTTGCGGGGTGTCAACCAGACTTCCCCTTTGGCCGGAGGCCAAAAAGGACACCAGCCATTTTGCCAGGCCCCTTGTTTCAGTTGAAGCGCCCTCCCCTTTCCTTTACATCTTTTTTTGCGGCGCGATTTTGTTGCCATGCCCGAGGCCGATGGCTGCTATGCCGGCCATGGAGGCGGGTTGCAGGATGGATGGCATGCATTCGGTGAACGGCTTCAGGCATCTTGTTTTTGGGGGGGGGGGGGATTGCGGAACCTTGTTTTTCCAGCCACAGGTGTCCTTGGATCTGTTTGGTTGAACATGGGTTCTACTGGACCAGGTAGCATCTCCTTTTCCAGAAAGGACGCCCGGGGTGCTGTGTAACTTTGATTGGGCTGACTGAGATCACTGCCATGGGTTTTTTTCCTTTGGATCCGGGCCCGACCTGTTTTTGCCAAGACCCAGCGGAAGCTCCGAAAGTTCCAAACTTTCTAACTCCGAGCATTTGTGTGCGTGTGTGTGTCCTCCGATGGGGACTCTTCAAAGTAGCCACCGGTTTCGCCGGTTTCCCGTGATCTCACAGGTGCCGCAGTTGCCGCAGACGCAGATGTTGCAGATGCCGGCGCCGGGCGCGACGGTGCCCGAGGCGCCTGCGCCTGCTCCGGCCGCGGCCGTGGGGCAGGAAGGTGCGGTGGAGGCCGGGAGTGGAAGGTGAGGATCAACCGCTTGGGCGAATTCACCTGGGTGAATTATAACGACCTCACACGACCGAATTCACCCCAAATGGTGGTTTATGTTGGGAATATTCCCCTAATCACCTTGTTTCAGGTTGGTGAACTATTATAGTTCACCCAGATTCATGAGGCACTCAGGAGGCTCGTTGGGAAGGGCACGTCCCTGCGGTTGCTTCAAAGACTTACGTAAGCCATGTGGACTTAACACGCTTTTTCCCACAACCCAGATGATGACTGCGCTGGAGCCAGACATGCTGAACACAACTCCTTTGCTCCATGCGGTTCGCTCGGGGCAGTTGTCTTTCCCTTTCTCTGACCAGTGACCCGACAAAATTTGAAACCAAGGATTAACCTGGTCTATCTGCAGTCCGATATTCATCCCAAGGAGAGATATTGGTTATCTTGTTTTTGCGGCGTACCCCTTTTTGGAGGGAACCTTCCACTTCCATCATTCTGGCTTCCTTGTTTGGAGACCAGCCTTGCGGACAAAGTAAGTCCAGGAATCCCGTCGCCGTGCTCATGGTCCCCGCCGGCAGCGTTTGTGGGCGCGGGCCTCGAGTGCTGACCCAACAGGAGTCCTCTTGGTTTTCGAAGAGTCACGCTGGGCCATGAGGATTTCCCGTTTCCAGGGCCAACTCATGGCGCGTGACCCACTTTTAGAGACCAAAGAAGGGGAAGACGCCGCATGGGCTGGAGTCGTTGTTGGTTTGTTGCCCGCAAGCATCTGAGATTGTTCTCGAGATAGGGCGCGGCACAAGTGTTTCCTTGTGCGAAAGATCAAGCGTTCAAGCTCCATGGGCAACTTTTGAACGGTGTTCATGTTTCCCTCTGAACTGATGCTATGTTTGCGCAGGACATGACCCCCTTTTTTTCCTCGCCACTCCTTGGAACTCGGGCCCGAAACCGGTTTCGCGTTCAGCTCCGGAGCCGGCGGCCATGCCGGGAGGGTTTTGATCTGCGACCGATTTCACCCATAGGGAACCCATGTCGTGGGTCCCGTTACTTTACTCACACCGACAGGCGGAGTATGCAGATCCTTTGGCCACCCGAGGCAAACCTAAACCATGGTTGCAACATGTGTTGCTTTGCCTTGTGCGAAGCTTGACCAACCTTCAACGCGTGATCCTCTTTTGGGGAAAGTTTGGCATAGGCCTAGCAATGTTTGCCATGCACTAGTGACCGAGAGGCGGCCTCACGTTGGCCAATTACTTTCTTCGGGGATCCCGATTTCGCGTTCGGTGTTTCCTAAGGGGAGCCCTAAGGCTTGATGGCCTCTTGGCTTCCCTGTCAGCAAAAGCTGTCGAAAAGGGGCCCCCCATCTGCCCATTCTCGACCCGCTGGTTCGCCCGGCGAGCTGCACATCTACCTGCACATGTTCGCGCCGAACTTCGACCAAGTGCCCAAGCTCATCGGTAAGCAAGGCGGAAGGGCGCCGAGCGCTCAAGCGCTTGGTGTTTGGGATCCGAACATGGATGCCGTCGGGGTGCGTATGAAACTCAACCGGTTGTACGTGGAATGTTTTGATGCCCGCAAGGTTTGCTACCCTGGCATTGGCAAGCGAGTCTACCAGCCCAGGTTCGCTCGCCGGACCTTTGTTCGCCCACTTAGACTTCCATGTGCTGAAATGAAGACGTTTATTTTTTCCTTGTTGGTTTTAAAAGGGAACTATCACTACTGGACATAGTCTTTCTTTCTTTTTTCCAGGGGGCTTGAGCATCTCATGTACATTCTCTTTTGCAGGTGATATATTGTGAACTTTTCTTGGTGCCTATCAAAGTTCATGATGTAGACTGAGCCACTGAGGGGCTTTGGATTCCCCCGCGCGTGGTTGGCATCTTCGATCAGTTTGGGTTTATTGTGCGGGACTGAGACATTTTTTCCCACTCAACCCGGGGACGAGGACGAAATTGTCCTTGCCCATTCTGGGTAATCGAGTTATCGAGTGGGTCTTATCGAGTTGTCAACGGTGCCCATAGTTTGAGCGTTTATCGAGTTGTCAACGGTCTTAATGATCTGCTTCCGGAAGTGACTTGCAAGCTTCCCAATGCCTTCACTTGCACCTGCACACTGATGGAAACCTTGACTGAATCAGAATCAAGTATCGCAAAGAGAAAACCCTGCTCCCCAAGTTTTCCCCACTCCCTAGTTAATGTGCAGCGATCCACATCCATTAAGGGGGGGGCCTTTTTATGCAACTCCCGTGGTAACTTCCCTCGGAGGGTCAAATGGACAGTGGGCCTCGTGATTCATAGTTTTGACTTGGCACATGCTGCCACTGCCCCATCGATTCCTCACCTGTGAGCAATCATTTTTCACTTGTCATTTCGGACGACGCGGCGGAGGGCAGGCGAGCAGGCCTTTCCGCTAGAACAAAGGCCACCCCCCCTCCCCCGCGTTTTGGGAGTTCCCCGAAAGTGCTCCAACTGATTGGGCCTGAAGGCACCCGTGGATGGGAACCTCTCGCTGAGCTTTCGATAGGGAATGAGTTGGAATGACCCCATCGGCCCTGGAAAACCAATCCCCTATGGTTGCCTTGAAGGGAATCCCCTTCCGGTTCATTCAAAAAGTCCTTTTTGTCATTCCCTATACCTATCGCGCCCAGCAAGTTTTTGGGGGTCCCTATTTGAGACCAACCGTTTTTTTTCCCCTTTTCTCCGGGTCCATTCACAGGCGCGCGCTTGCCGCGGCGGAGAAAAAGAAAAAAAGAAAAGCACGCGCAGGAAAGAACACCCGGAAGATCGCCGCCGCCACGGGGGCGAAGGTCCGCATCCGCGGCCAGGGCAGCAACTCGGCCTCGGATGCGGAGATGGGGGTTCTGTCCAAGCGCCTGGCTGTGGTTGTCAAAACCGTTTTGGAATCCCATTTTGGCTGGTAGGTGAATTCACCCCATTTTAGAACCTATTTTAGTAGGGATTGGGATGTTCACTGGGGGTATGATTTGGACTTTGACCCATGGCCACGTGGCTTGGTGGTTCCTATTACCTTTTCTTTTCCTGGGGAACCCCCGTGAAAAAAGTGGTGGACATGGGGATCCCACCGAATTCGGATGTCCAAGGGTCCATAATTAAAATTCGGACCCCATGTGGGCAAGGTTTCCCGTGTGAAAGTCGTATCTTTTTGGTGGTTTTCCTGATGGTCATCCCATGTTTGATCAACCCCCACATGGTTCCTGATACTAAGTAGCGGTTGGAAGGGAGCCGTTTTGGAGCTGGAAGTATCCAAATTTGCTGTTTAGATATGGAGCTAAGGAGCTACCAGAAGCTCTTGATTCACATGGCAGGATAGGTGAATGGTCCCTTGAGGAAATGAGCTCTTCAGGTGTGTCTTTTGGTGCGTTAGGTAGGAATGCCAAATTGGACACAAACCTTAAGCTCCTGCTTCTCCCCCAAATAGGGGGCTGAAGGATCAATTTGCACAGGGTTGAATCAATGGGCAAGGCCTTACACCGCACTTCGGAATGACGATTTGAAAGAGGGGATTGGTGAAGTCGACCTTTGCGGGTCTTTCACATGTCCTTCTTCGGGAGTTTACATGCATCGAACTTCTCATACGGGGCTGCCCACCTTTTTGTGTTTTCTGGGTATCTTCCCTGGCTTTCGAGTTTTGACATCAGACCTGTCCTACCACTGTAAGCTTGGGCTTGCTCTTATTTTCCTTTCCAACCTGCTGACAGATCTTTTCTTGCAGGCGCTCCGAGTCTGGCCCAGTTGAATGGCTCCCAAATGTATCCAACAGGCAACTGGGGGGTAGTGGTACCCCACATGGGTATGGGTCAAAATTAAACCACCAGGGGCCAGGGGCTACGCAGGTTTTGGTCCATGTTCCCATTTGCCAGGATTCCATTTTGGGTACATACTTTCGACCCACAGCCATCTCGCCATCTCCGCAGCGGCCAAGCAAACAATTTGAGGCGGACACATGGAGCTTGAGGGCCAGTACGAAGCACCCACGCCGCTCATGGCGCGACCCATGGCGGTTTTTGATCGGACATGAGCCCCAGTCAGTTGTGTGTTCGGTTGTCGTCAAATGGCTGTGGGTCAAAACCAATGGTACCATGTTGGGGTAGGTGAATTCACCACCCATTTTGGAGCCTATTTTAGTGGAGATTGGGATGTGCACTGGGGGTGCGATTGGGGTTTTGACCCATGGCCAAATAGAGGAACTCCTCAACCAAAATGGGGTTCACCCTGAAAGGGGTACCTGCAAAAGAACGGGGTCCCGCTCATGTGGGCAAGCAACAATTGGCTGTACAGTACCAGGCCCTTGTGACAGGTTGCTTGGAGCAACAGCGATGTTTCAGCAAAAGCAAGCAGTCAGGCCAACTGGATTTTTCAGGCAGTTGGGAAGAATTAGGGGAATTGGGAATGACCCTTACCAATTGGCCGTTCGTTTGTGGAATTTTTGGAATAGTTGGCTGGGTCTTTGTGAAAACAAGCAACTCGACCGTTGTTTGTTTCAACCTCGCGTATTTTCCTGCTTTGTGAGTGTGTGTGTGTGTGTGTTGGTTATCCTTTGGCGACTTGTTTTGTGTCTGTTTGATTCACATGCCCGCCATTTTGACGCCGTATCAGACACTCCTTGGTCGCTTGTATCGTTGGCGGGGAGGGCCTTGACCGGCTCTTTTTCAGTAGAGGTTTCAATGACCACTTGCATCCCCCTGTTGGCGCACTGTCACTAAAGTCATGGGTTCCTGGAAGGACTTCCCCTGAGGCCCCACCTAGGAAAAAGGGCCAAATAAGGGTTGACCACCCACCCAATCGTGTGCAAACCCACTTTTTGGTTCGTGGCTGGTTGGCACCTTGCCATATTTTTTCAAACCATTTGCTCATATTCTGAGGTGAGGGTGGACATACAGACCATCAATTGAACAGCAGGGATCCCTGGGTTTCTATTTTTCTTCCCCACAAGGTAGCAGTTTCCGAATGTCAAAAGTGGGTGGCAGTGGCTCGTCCTTTTTTTTTGTACCCTTTTTGGGATGGCTGAGGGAAGCCAAACGGAAAACCACCATACAGGGGGGTCGCCTATTTTCAGACACACCCAAGCACCCACCAGTCAGTTGCCAGCGGTTCGATAGGGCAATCAGTGATCTGAATTCCATGCAGGTGGCTGTCACAACCGACCACGGTGATCCGGTGATGCTGCTTGGCCAGTGGCCAGGAGCGGCACGTGGCACACCTTTGGGGGTTTTTGACCACAGAGCGGCAAACTGCTTTTCGCGTTTTGGAATTTATCTAGGTCCCCCAGTAGTGCCCTTTTGCCCTTTTTTGGGGAGGGTTCCCCTACTAAAATAGACTACCGAAAAAAGGGGTATTTCAATCTCCTAGTGGAGGACCTGGTCATTGGAAGTTACTCATTGTCGCTTTTAGGGCCGGCCGGTTTGGAGAACTACCATCCTTTGGGATGTCCTCAGTTGCTCCTTCGAGTCAGGGCTTCCGCCATCCAATGTGGAGATGTCCATTCCCACTCAATCGGAGACGTCCCAAGAACGCGACCGAGTTTTTGAGATTAGGGAGGAGGTGCTATACTTTTTCCTGGCGAGAAACATGGAGCAACCAAAAGGAGTGTTTCACGATTCATGTTAAGTTGCAGGAACATAGCAGACGCATGCGCCGTTTTTTTCCGTCATGCTGAGTGCAAGCATGTTGGAAAGTCTCAAATCCTTCCAGGCTGAACGGGTGAAAGGCCAGGAGGTGTCTCCATGAGGGGGGGGGGGACGGCATGGCAACAGCCTGGATTTCATTACGGTTGGCCCAGGAGCTATCACATGCGCAAAGGAGACTGGCTAAATCAGTGTGGCAGCATTTGAGCAAAGTTCTTGCCGCTGTCTTGGTGATTCAGTATTGCTTATGTACCAAGTGGCTTGGCACGTGACGTTCCCGCACAAGTTGAGCATGTATTGAATCCTTAGATTCAATGCCAGGACAGAGGAAGAACAGATACGACTGGAGTCATAATTTTGACTGTTACTGGGGCAAATCAAAGAGTCAGAAACGGACTTTGATCCTGGGAAGAAAAAGGTGCCAGTAGTCGGGACTTGTTGCAGTCCCCAGAACCAAATGAAAGAAGCCTGAAAGGGAGGACACCGGGGCAGATGCAGAGGGACTCTTCACGTTCTCTATTTGGAAATCACCATCCTTGTGCGAGGAGGTACCTTGCTCCTAAAATTTGGCACCCCAGACATGGGGCTTATGGGAAATTGATCTCCCAAGTACGTACCCTCCAACAGCTGCTATGTTTCCGAGGAAGGGTATTGACGTCGGAGATCTACCCACCATAGGTTGCTGAAGGGTCTAACGGCCCAACTATTCAAGCTTCCCACGGAGTCGTTGCCCGATTGCCCATGGCCCCAGTCTGATCTTGGGGAACAGCAACGATCTCTTCTCCGCGGCTCAGACGGAAGAATTCGCTAAAGCGGAAGGAGTTGAAGAATAGCACCTCCGCCCCAAGCAATGCCACCCGTTTCTTTTCTTTTTTTCACCGGCGGGTAGAGCCCAGAATCCACGCGGCATCCAGTTCCGCCGGCCCCCGAGCCGAGCCTTTGCTCCCGTTACTGTAGTTTTTCCTGCTTTCAGTTTTCTTTGGTCCAGGGCCGAAAATGGGCGATCGCCTTGAGAATTTTACCCAGATTTTTGGGGGCGAGTGAGCCCACCTTTGAACGCCTCCCCGTCGCAGCCGCCCCGCGGCTGAGGTTCCGCCAGGCCATTGAGATGACCCTGGAGGAGCTGCAACAGCTGCAAGGCGCCGGCGCTCGGCTCGGGCGGGTCGTTCGTTCTTTTTTGGGTGGACCACCCAAGTCTTTGGGGGTCCATTGGTGTGGCTTGCTTTGGGTTTGCCAGTTGGTTTAGTGACTTTTCTTTGGGGTTCTTTATTTTAAATACTACCAGAATGGGTACCCTCAAACAAAGGCAACCCTATATGAGGGAGGGGGTTTGGAGGGTAGCCTTTTTAGGATTGGTTTCAAGGGACGCCAAAAGGAAAGCCACATTGCCAGGGCTTCACTTATTCGGACATATTCCCACTTTTGGTGCTGCGATCCAAGATAGCGAGGGTCCGCCAGCGTGACTGAACAGACGTCCTTTGGTATGCAAGTTTCAGCCCATGGCCAGGGCGAGTCACAGTGTTCGCAACGGCTTGCACTACTGTGGATGGACAAAATCCTGTTTGAAACCGTGTTTGAAACCATGGTTTGTTGGTATTCACTGGGGAATCGTCATTCCAGGGATTCTTAGGTGGTGCAGGATTTCGTCCATCCACAGTATGACTGGCAAGCATGTGCCAAGAACCATCCAGGGTTTTCACCAAGCCATACCCAGCGCTACTGGAACCAAGCCAGCTAAAGGGCATGGCTTTGCCACCAGGGTGCATGGCAAGAGGCGGGTCCGATCCCCACAGGTTTTGTAGGATTGCTTTAGATTGCATGGAGGTCAAACATACTGTATCGAAGCAGCTTTCGGATGTCCAACGGGGCCGTTGGTTTGCGTGCTCTCGCCAAGGCTGGGCTCATAGTTTTTTTCTGGAGTCTTTAGAAGCGTCGACCCCGAAGTTGTGGCCGGAGACTTGCAGCACATCCAAAGCCACACTCTTCACGGCCTGGCATCTCTAAACAAATTCAAGTCCCTGAGCTCCGGCTTGCAGGCAATTTCCCGCTTCCCGGAGTCATTCCTCGGGAATGCGCTGTTTGACCCCCCCAGAGAGGCGAGTACTTGCCAGAGCTGTGTGCACTCAATACCTGGCCTTGACTCAATCAGACCAGCAGGCCCAAATCTTGACAACAAAAATCCAGCTGAGGCAAGGCACGGCTCGGTTGGGTTCGAAGTCCTGGATGTTTTGTTGAGTATGGGCGTTGGCAGCATTTGCGAATCCTCCTCTTGGTGACTGTGGTTTGACCGGAAACCAAAAGCAACCTGCCGCAATTAAAGGACATTTTTTGATGAATGGTTGATTTGCTTGCTCCGAGCGAATCAGCCCCCCCCCTCTCAGCAAGCTGGCAGGTCGCTTTCACAACCACTGCAGCGAGAGGGGCATCACCCACACCGGACCCTGCTTCTCGATCGGCGTTGTGCAGAAGAACGCCCAGGAGGCTCCAAGCTCAGATCCTTCGAAAAGGAGAGGCGCAATCTTTGATGCATTTTGCTTGGATGTTAGGACTTTAACTTTTTGCCAACTAATGGGTGTCCATTAAACCACTAAAAGTTAAACTTTTAGCGGAGCAGAAAGCAACCGAGCAATGTTTGTGAGGACAGTCACTTGCGCAAGGCGTGCCTTCCAAACTCAACGTGCGGGGTCCGTGGGCACTAGGCATTGCAAGCAGTTGCCCAGCACCTTTTGCCAAGCTTTGGACACGGTGTTTTTCTTGGTTGACCAGTGTTTGTGTTTTTTCTGCTTCTTTTGTGCTTGTGGCTGCCTGCTACATTGATTGGTCTCTGTGTCAATCCATTTGTTGTGTCCACTCGCAGGTAATCTCGTTTTTCTCAACTGCTTCCCATGCCCTCGCGATGGCTGGGAATTTCCGGACCCGTGGATCGATCCACCGCCGAGATCCGGGCCAAAGCTTGGCCTGTAAATCTTTTTACAAGCCCAAAAAGGGGGCATGGGACCTAAGGTAAGAAGGCCCACTGCAAAGTGGCCTTGTTTAATTCAGGATGGTCCGCTTATCACAACAAGATGCCGATTCCCAGACCCAATACGGATGTAGTAGTAGTGGTGGTGAGGTCCCATACGGATTTTGGATGAGGATATGGGTTCCCCCAATGTGAACCACCTGGCTGTCCGGTTCCATGAGCGTTGGAATCGTGGGTACATGTGTATTGCTTTTGGAAGGTATTCCCAAATAGAATTGACATGCGCACGGCTTTTGCCCAAATTTGTTGTTTTGGGGTCCCTTTGTCGGGTTCCCTCTGTTAATCAGTGCTCACTTCCGGAGTTCATGGATTTTAAGCTTTTTGGGAAGCCCATGTTAGTGAAAACAATAAACAGTTGGGACTTCTTTTGGCCAGTCTCAGGAAGTGCGTGGGAGAGTATCTCGTTCTCTCTTTGCTTTTTTTTGGGGGGGCGCCCTAAGAAAAGCTTTTTCGTGTTTTTTTTGTTGGGGGGATGTTCCCTAAGAAAAGCCGTCCATGCCACCGTATCAACCCAATTTCTGGGTCTCGCCTGTAGGCGCTGGGCGATCTGCTGAACAGCTTCCCGCAGGCTCCAGGCGAGCTGAATGCGACCGGGCTCGTCTTTTTGTTTAGAGAAATCCCCCCCATTTTTGTTTGGCGATTTGCTTCTTTTGTTTGGTTCTCCTTTAAAACAACCAAACAAGGGGGGGTCCTCAAAAAAGAGACACCCACATGATTCCCCAAACAGTGTGTCTACACTAAGGGGTTCTTACGGTAAGAGAAAAGGCCTTGGTGCCAGATTGAGGTGCCCGCTCTGTCCGCGAGCGTTTTGCGTGGTATGTACCGCAGATTCGTGCTCTTGCTTGATGTCGAAGTGCGTTTTGACTGCGCAGGCTCGCACAAAGTGAGGTGTCGACTTCTGTCCGCGAGCGTTTTGCGTGGTATGTACCGCAGATTCGTGCTCTTGCTTGATGTCGAAGTGCGTTTCGACTGCGCAGGCTCGCACAAAGTGAGGTGTCGACTTCTGTCCGCGAGCGTTTTGCGTGGTATGTACCGCAGATTCGTGCTCTTGCTTGATGTCGAAGTGCGTTTCGACTACGCAGGCTCGCACAAAGAGAGGTGTCGACTTCTGCCCGCGAGCGTTTCGCGTGGTATGTACCGCAGATTCGTGCTTTTGCTTGATGTTGAAATGCGTTTCGACTGCGCAGGCTCGCAGAAAGTGAGGTGTCGACTTCTGTCCGCGAGCGTTTCGCGTGGTGTTTGCCGCAGATTCGTGCTTTTGCTTGATGTTGCAGTGCGTTTCGATTGCGCAGGCTCGCACAAACTCGGTTTTGTTGCTTTTTTGGCGGCTCCAGGGACCGTGGGGGTTTTGTCTCGTTGTCCAGCGGCACGGGTTTCCGGCGAAAGGTCCCGGGCTCGATTCCCGCCCTGTCTTGTTTCCCTTTCTTTGGGCATGCTTGGATGGTGCTTCTGTGCTGCGACGGCTTCCCGATGGTAACAACAACCAAACAGCAACAGCAACAGCAACAGCGCCACATTCATAGAAAGAAAGAAATACAGAGACAAAACAACGAGAACCAAGGAAGAAGCTACCTAGCTAGCTAACTCACTAACTCAGGCACCCTGTTGAAAAAAACACACACAGATCTTGCCTTTTGTAGTGATGCTTGCGCAGCCAAATACCGCAAAATGATGTTGCAGCTTCCTGACAACAACCGCCGTTTTGCGGCGCTGCCCGCACAATACTCTGCAGCGTGTGACCGCCGCCTATCACTGTTTGGGGTCTCGTGCCGGGGTAATTTTTTGAGGCCTTTCAGGTTGGTTCAAAGGGACAAGAGGAAACTGAAGCCCTGACAGTAGCTTGCTCCCGCCTAAGCCTGGAAGTGTTTCTTTAGTTGGGAACCCATCGTCATCGAAATTTGATGTACTGTACCATGCTGGTTGCTCACTCAGGAGGTTTTTCATGGCTTTTTGTCTTGTTAGGCGAGCAGTTGCGTTCAACGGTCCGGGTGTTTTCTCTTTTCCCAGGTAAACTTGTGTGTGTGTGTGTGTGTGTGTGTGTGTGTGTGTGTGTGTGTGTGTGTGTGTGTGTGTGTGTGTGTGTGTGTGTGTGTGTGTGTGTGTGTGGGAGTGCGTGTGCGTGTGCGTGTGCGTGTGTGCGTGTGCGTGTGCGTGTGCGTGTGCGTGTGCGTGTGCGTGTGCGTGTGCGTGTGCGTGTGCTTGTGCGTGTGCGTGTCGTCCGTGCGTGCGTGCCTGCGTGCGTGCCTGCCTGCCTGCGTGCGTGCGTGCGTGCGTTCGCGCGTGGGTGGGTACCTGGGTTTGTGGGTGCTCAGCTGCACGTGGGTGGGTGCAGGGTAGGTGGGTTGGTGCATGCATAGAATCGTGTCTTCGTGTCTTCGTGTCTTTGTGTCTTCCTGTGTGTGTGTGTGTGTGCGCCTGTGCGTGTGCATCTCATTTGGGGGTCGGGGGCAATTGACAGGCGGAAGATGGGCTCGGGGGTTGATCGATCCCTGTGCCAGGGGCCAAGTGAATGGCCGCCGCATGCGCGGGTCCCAAGAGAGCCTTCGGGCTGTTTGGAGATGTTCCGGCTCAGATTGAAACTGGGCGCTGCAAAAGAAGTAGGGAGCTGTCTAGAGTTGGTTCCCTTTGTAAACTAATCTCCAAAGGGCTGCAAATGTTTGAGGCAGCCAAATATGGAGAGATGGGCGCTGTTTGCTCTGAGCTGTCTTTGCGATCAATGACAAACCATGCCCATACAATAGCCACATGATGTAGCAATTGCTACTTACGTGCCAGGCGCCTGTACCGCGGGCAGGTTCGCTCTAGTACGGGAAAGCACAGACAAGATCACACCCTCGTTAATGACCGGGCGCCTTTTGCGCACGCTGCGGGCGTCTCAAGTCAGGCCGCTGAGAGAAACTAACGTGAGGCCACAAATCGTTGTCGCAGTTTCTGCGGAACATGCGCTGGCAAGTGTAGTCCATCAAAGCTGGGTTCACTTGATGGTCTGATTTGTTCACAACTTCAGAGGGCGCGCATTTTTTGAGATCGATGACTTGTGTTCCAGCACGAAGACGTTTGGTGCTTCTGGGACCCGCAAATTCATTGAGGATGCGTCGCTCTTCAGCATGCTTGCAGCCATTGGCGAGGTCAAATTCTTGAAAAACTTCGCTCCGTCACTAAACACGAAGCTGCCTTTCCGGATGAACTTCTTGAGCCCAGCAATGTCTAAGCTGAAGTTGCTTTCAATCTTGTTTGAGTAGAAGCCAAATGCGAAATCAGAACTGGCTTCGGTGCGTAAGCAAAAGCGCATCTTCAAATTCCGAGCTGTGGCTAGCATGCTGCGGATGGCTGTGGCGAAAGACATAGCTGACATAGTCGGACACCACGTCAAAAGACAACTTCGACGCAGTCCACCCAGTCGGCTACGGACTCACGGGCTAACAGTGCCTGGGCGCAAGTCTTTCCCTGGCCTTGGGCGCTCGATTTCTCCCACGCCATCAAGCCCTCAGTTGCGCCAGCCTGGGTGCTCCCGTGCCGACGGAGCCTGGGACGCTCGGGTCTGAACTCCGAGAGGGGCGACGGCTTCGGAGAAGGGAGGGATGGCGCCTTGGGCCCTGCGCTTCGGGGTAGAGGCTTTCTCTTTCGCCGGTCTTATTGAGATAGGTTATTTGACCCATGAGACTTGCCCATCTGGGGTTTGGAGCGTTTTGTTTCTCCAATGGTCCAAATAAAGCTCGTCAGGGAGCGGTCAAGCCAGCAGTAGCTCCCTCGCAAAGGGAACACCCTGGTGTCTTCAGTTTGAGACTCAGGAATGTGCTGCAGCTCGCGATGCAGATGCTTGTTCGGTTGGATGCAAGCAAACCGATGCTTGAAGCACGCCAATGGGAGGATCGGAGAACTGTCATTTGACACATTTAGCGGCGTCCCCATTTGTCCAGTAAGACCATCTACTCAAATACCAACTGCCATGCTCACCATGGTTTCTCTTGGGTTTCCCTTTGAAGGCGGCCTCAAGAAACACGCATGCTTATGGATATGTGCAAAGCTCACCACTCGCGTCCTTGCCGTGGGCAGAAGCGCCCTGGCGCCTTCCAGTTGCATTTCGAGAGCATAAAGCCGCCCCTATGGGTAGCTAGGATGTCACTTTGCCAGGGAAACAGTAGCTCTTCTGATACCAAAGTGGGATTCCGGGACTCCGGTGGCCCTGACTTGATCACCTTGCAGGGGCGTTTCTTCCGCTCATCAAAGCTGAGCTCAGCACACGTTGGAACAAGTCATGGGTGTTTGGGAGGCACTGCCGTGAAGCAAGAGACTGAAAGAGGGACACAGGGGGGTGGGGTGTCTCAAGAATCCCCTCTTTTGGATAGTGTGGAAACTTTGGAATCAACACACGCACCGAGGGGGTTGCCAAAAATACGACCGCTTTTCCCATCCCAGGTGCTAGTGCACGCCGGGTTAAGTCAGAACCTGCACATGCAGTGCCTTGTGCGCCAATCGGGGGATGTAGGGGCTGCAATGACAAAGGCTATGAATAGAGAACCCCTCAAAAGTCGGTGGTGGACATGAATCCATGAGATTTCACACCCAATCCGTATTCTGTGAAAGCTGAGATATATTAAAGTTAGTGTCAAAGTAACCCCACAATCCTATTCGTCCTTGCTGCAGGGGCTTGTTTCTTTGAGGCGTGACCTTGACAAGCCGGGAACCCGGCAACACAAATTTGGTGCACGGCAGCCTCAAGGGTTTGCGACCAGGAGGGGCATTGATTGAACTCGACTGTCAAGCAATCTGGCTGTGGGTCAAAACCAATGGTACCATTTTGGGATAGGTGCACAACCCATTTTCGTCTATTTTAGTGGGGATTGGGATGCTCACTGGGGGTACGGGATTTTGACCCATGGCCATCTCAAGTTGAGGCAACAAACCAATGGTATTTGCAACACGCAGAGCAAACCGGAAAGATTGGCGTGTGGTGTGAGACAAGCAGATGCAGCCAGTTGGATGTCTTTGCTGTTCGTTTCTGTTTGCCGTCAGCATGCACTTGCACTGCCTTTTAGGGTGCTCTTTTTGGGGAATATTTGGGTCCCCCCGCCTGAACAAGGGGTTTCTTCACTTGTTTTTTGCGTGCCCTTGTTTCTCCAAAGGGGTCAAAGGCAACACTAAGGGCTCGCAGCTCCGATGGTCGCAGATCCGCCAATTGTGCCATAGCCTCCAATGGAGGCAGTGGCACCGCTTCGCTGGAGCTGATCAAATATTTGATCTGGCTCTCTTTCTATAACAGTTACTCAGTTAACATGTCTCCTGTGGTTAGTATGTGGACCAGCCGGCCAGACGTGGCACAGCGGGCCGCGATTCCTGACTTCCCTTGACCTTTCCTCTCGTGTTGTTGTTGTATTTTTGTTTTTTGTTTTTGGTCAAATCCAACCGCGCAGGCTTCGTTGAGTCATGTGGGGCTTATTCTCCGAGCCCTGCAAATTCAGTAATCCACACCAGCCATGGGCCATATAGGCTTACGGTTGCGCAGGCGGATAAATGCAGTCAGGGGTGCTCAAGAGTTCAGTCGGGCTCAGCAAAAGTGGGCAGGCATCATTTAGTTGCTGCGAGGACAGCAAGACAGCTGGCAACGTACCCTTCCGACAAACTCTGAAGTGCAATTGTAGTTCAAGGGGGCAATCAATATGTGGAAGGGTTTCAAGTGGTAGCTTCCCTGTGGAAAGAGTCCCGCACTTCCATCTTGCGAGGCACGGCATAGACTCTCCGTCTTGCGATGTTAGAATATGGGCTGCCGATGTCTCACGATCCTTTCTGGAAATTGGGGAAGAGAGGCAGATTCCTTTTGGGCAGGCCTTGCCTCAACATCGCATCGCGGCCGGGAATCCGGCGAATTCATGTTTCGCCGCCGCCTAGCGCATTTTGCATTGCATGCAACAGCTCCTGCACAGTTTCTAGAACAAAAGGTGTCGGAGTTGGAATCATTGCAAACCTTGCCTTGCCGACATGGCACGTGCGTGCTCCTTTTGGATGGTGGACAAATGCATCGATGTCAGGGGTGCTCAAGGGTTCAGTCGGGCTCAGCAAAAGTGGGCAGGCATCATGTAGTTGCTGCGAGGACAGCAAGACAGCTGGCAACGTACCCTTCCGACAAACAATTATAGTTCAAGGGGGTAATGAATATGGGTGTGGGTCAAAAATGGGTACCCAAAAGGCCCAAAATGAAATAATGAAACCAAGGTGGTCTAAGTTTGACCCATAGCCATATGGAATGGTTTCAAGCGGCAACTTCAAGGAGCGCACTTCCATCTTGCAAGGCATAGCGGGGGAGACTCCCCGCCTTGGCTGCGATGTTAGGAGATTGGCTGCCGATGTCTCACGATCCTTTCTGGAAATAGGGAAGCGACGCAGATTCCTTTTTGGGCAGGCCTGGCTTCAACATCGTATGCCATCCGGGAATTCGGCGAACCCACCGGCGCATTTTACATTGCATGCAGCCGCTCCTGCACAGTTTATGGCGCAAAAAGGCTTCGGACGGCACGTACGGGCTTTTTGTGGATGGATCCGTGAATTAACCTGTATGTAGGGTTTCCCCTCAAGACCGGCCAACATTGTGATAGATTTTTTTTTGTAGTGTCAGACGCTGTGACACCAAGGAACCCTTTAAAGTGACAAAGTAGTCATCACTTTTTCACAACAGGTGCGCACACGACCTCAACGAAAAAGGCGTTGGATCCTCTCGCCAGGCGAATCGCGACTTCGAGGCGCTGCTTCTGACCTGTGCCGCGGCTGCAGTCGCGCCCATGTTGGCAAGGGGGTCTTTGAGCGTTTCTCAAGCAGCTCAGGCATTGTCTCTAAGCTACTGTATGAAATAGGCCGTCTACCAATTACTGGTCCTTGTCCCGACTTACTACATGCAAGGCAATGGCTTGAGGCAGAGGATGTTTGGCACATGTCAATGCCACCAGAGGAGGGCAGACGCGGGCACATATGTATTTGATTAATTGTTGATTTCGGGAAGACACCTTGGGCCTAACAAGAGAGGCGGGCTAAGCTGGTGTAGCAGCGGGGTAGGTGCTAACAGGTCCGCTTCTCATTTTTTAGGTAAAACGGTAAAACCGTAAGACCGTAAAGCCGTTTTACCGTTTTACCGTTTTACCTGACAGGTCAAACCGTAAAACCGTTTTACCGTTTTATTGTTTTACCGTTTTACCTGGCATGTAAAACCGTACAACCGTTTTACATTTTTACCGTTTTTCAGCGCGCAGCATGATACCCTTTCTAGGGGTTGATTCCTGGTCAGTTCTGTGTAACCTTAAAAAACGCCGTTATAGCATAGGATAGGATAGGATAAGGTAGGATAACGTAGGATAAGATCGGATAAGACAGGATAAGACAACATACGGCAAGATATGATGGAATAACATTAATTATAATATAGGATCAGATATAGATATAAATAAATATGTATAGATAGATACATAGGATGAGATCGGCTACGGTAGCATAAGACACGGTGAGATAGGCTAATATGGAGTAAGGTAGGTAGGCTAGGATATGACAGGGTAAGATAGCATAAGATACGAGAAGATAGGTCAAGGTAGGCTAAGACAGGATCATGCAAAGGTAGCTAAGGTAGACAAGGTATAACAGGTAGGTAGGATAGACGTGCCAGATAAGATAGCTACGGTAGATAAGATATAAGATAGATCAGATAGATAGGATATAAACGATAGACAAGCTATACACGCTGAGATAGATAGGAAAGCTAGGGTAGATACGATTGATAAGTAGGCAGGTAGATGGATAGATACATAGGATCAGATAGGATAAGGCAAGATAAGACATGATATGATAGGGTAAGATAGGATAAGATAGGATACCATGTTGTAAGATCGGATACGATGGGATAAGATAGGGTAACACAGGATAAGATAAGTTAAGATATGATAAGACAGGATAGTATATGATAAGAAGAGACAGTAGACATGATAAATATATATATATATACATATATATATATATGGGTTTGTCCTTTTTTGGTGTGTTGAGTTACTTCAAAAGGCAGAAGGTGGGACCTCCCCGAATCATACCCCCGAATCATACCCCCGAATCATACCCCGAATCATACCCCCGAATCATACCCCTGAAAACGTATGCTGCAAGATGCTACTGTTCTTCTACCGTTTTGTGTTGTTCACTGCCTCCACAACAACCACCACCAGCGCTACCCAATACCTACCACTACCACTACTGCTACCACTACTGCTACTACTGCTACTACTACTACTTCTTCTACTACTACTATTCCTGCTGCTGCTGCTACTACTCACTACTACTACATACATCATTCTGAGTCTGTAATCAGTGCCGTTTTGCACCTAGCCGAATCATACCCGCGAATCATACCCGAATCATACCCGGACAATGAGCTTCCACTGCCAAGGCTAGTGCCAAGTCTTTTTCAAAGCGTCCGCACCACTACAGCCGCTGCTGCCCATGCTACAGCTGCGACCACTACTTCTGCAACTGCTACTACTACTACCACTACTACCACTACTACTGCTACTACTACTACTACTACTACTACTACTACTACTACTACTAACAGAGCTACTACCACATTCATCATTCTGAGTTTGTAATCCGTGCCGTTTTGCACCTAGCCGAATCATACCCGCGAATCATACCCGAATCATACCCGCGCAATGAACTTGCCTTGCCAAGGCCAGCGCCAAGTCTTTTAAAAGCTTCCGCGCCACTACAGTCGCTGCGTCTACTGTTACTGTTACTACTACTACTACTACTACTACTACTACTACTACTACTACTACTACTACTACTACTACTATTACTACTACTGCTGCTGCTGCTGCTGCTGCTGCTGCTTCCGCGAATCATACCCCCGAATCATACCCGCGAATCATACCTGCGAATCATACCCCGTACTCAAAAAATACAAACCCATATAT